ATATATATATGGAGAGAGAGAGAGAGAGAGAGAGAGAGACAGAACTAGAGCAGTGTTTTCAACCTCAGCAACTTTAAGATGTGTGGACTTCATATACTGTCTATGGTACCTAGAGTGACCATCCTAACTGGAAAGTGAACTGATAATGACAAAGGATGAATGCAGAATGAATGCACTTCACATTCAGTTCTTTAACCATGAGCTCCAAAGCAAAAACTAACATTTGGCTACCTGTATTTTAAAAAGGGCTTTTTTCCAGACATGGAATAGTCTGAATAAAACACTTTTTCTCTGCTGCATGCATAAAATGAACATAGTGCTGAGCTGAGTGACATTGAGGAAAAATGCTATTATTAATATTATATGATGCTGGTCATTTCTGATTGCTGTACATAATCTTTTTGGATATCTTGCCAAAAGGAAAAAAATAGAAAATATCTAAGCAACACAAAGGATATTGCAATAATAAACTACTTTATTAGGGTTGGAATATGGAAGCACCACAGAATTTGTAAGGAGAACTATTGCTCTCAAAGATATCCTTCTACAATATTTCACAATATTTCACAAAATGAAAAGTATGTCCAATGCAATTATTCTGTAGAATAAGCAAGGCATGTATATAGATTTTCTCTTCCTCAATATGTATTTTGAGATTGTGGAATCAGATACGAGGGTGTGAATGTACATTTAGAATGTGTCATTTAAAATCACTAATAGCCATCCCTTCTGATTACATGTAAACATACTGCTAAGCTCATAGCTCCTACAATTATGGGAAACGACTCCTTCTCCTACCACCTTGACATCAAGTCCATCCTCTAACTTCAGAAATCTGTACATCTGTATTCTTTTACCACATTCTGTCTGTATTAGCATCTCTGTCTTTGTGCAGATAATAAACCTTCTCCTTTTGTCATGATGCATCTATCTTTCTCATTTGTGTCTCTTTGTGCTATTCTCATTTGCTTTAAGCATGTCATGATTTATAAAGGTTTTGCACACTTCAGATACATGCTACCTTGAAACCTGAAGCAGTGCTGTTTCCAAACTGCATTTCACCTGAGCCCTGAGGTGTGTGATTACTTAAACATCTCTCGAGACAAATGTCTTTCACTAAAGACTAAAGCGAGGAGGATCAACCCTCCCTCAGGACAGAAAGCCTTCTATTCCAATTCCGGAATACATTTGGTGCCTGCTATTTTGATTTCACCAAATGTCAGCTGAAATATATATACACATACACATACATACCCATATTCTCTCTGTCTCTTTCTCTGACTCTGTTTCTCTCTGTGTGTATATATAATATTTGCGTGGGCACTGCATGAGATTTGTCTGTCTACATTCTAAATCCTCTCTCTGGTGCTGGCCCATTACTTTTCTGAATCAGCAACTATCTTACAACTGTCAGTCATTCATTTCTGTCAGTAAAATAAACAGTCCTTAACTAGAGCCATACAAATACGCAAAGGCATGAGCTGGGAGCTGTGCTGCCTTTCTCTGCTCTGAAAATGTAGCATGCAGGGAGTGGCCCAGGGTCCAAATTAAAAGTCTACAGGGTCCCCTTCAGACTTACCTTTTCCTAGTATTCAATAACCAAAAAAACAGTGTCAGCTAGTGTTCTTGGGGTTAGCATTGTTGCATTCTTTTTTTAAAAAATTTTGACAGCAGCATAGACAGAGTTACACTTCTAATAACATTGAAACCATGAATAAGCATGACAAATATCAGTAATGATGAATTCAGAACTGAAAAAAAACCACCCCTACAGAATATGAGACTGGGATTAGCCTGTTGGAGGTGCCTTAATCTATTCATTCATTGCAACTGGAAGTTAGATGTACACATCCTAATGGCACTTAAATTACGATAATAAATGCCCGCCACTTCATACATAAGTTATTCCACATTTGCATAGTTGTTCCTGTGCAGTTATTCCTAATTATCATACTGACGAAAAAGGTGTCAAACCCTGAATAACAACCTTTCCTTCCGTTAGTATATCTTTCCCCTTCATTTTGTACATTCATCTTTCATTTTTGATCTTACTGCCATTCCTATATACAGTTGTTTTATAAAAGCAAAAAAAACCAAAAACCCCTACTAGGATAGGAAAGAATAAGCAAATTGTTCTTTGGCCTGAGCTTAG